CCGGAAGTGCCTTGTTAGGGTGGGGATAAGGTCCAATGAGTTGGTCCTATGCTTCCTCTTCAGCTGATCCAGTGCCTCTTTGGACCACTCCAGGCTGGGTCCAGCAGCACAGGAGCTAAGAGAAAGCTGTGAGTGAGAAAGCCACCTCCAACCCCTTCCAGGACCCTCTCTGCCAAAGGCCCCATGCAAGGACTCCTTCCCCTCCAGGAACTCCTTCACCAGAAATCCTCATTTTTTCACCTTAGACAGCCGTCTTCCTCACCCCATGGCCAGCTCCCTAAGAGCTCCCATCCAGGACTTTCCCCCTCCACCCCCAGCAATACTTCCACTCTCAGATCCCTCAGTTCCAGGACCTTAACCCCATATTTCCACCCCAGCATCCCCTTCCCCCTCACCCCAAAACATCCCAACAGCAGAGGGTCTGGGGCTCAAAACATGCTCCCTCCCTCCCCACTCTACCCCCAAAGGGCCCCCTCTCTGTGGGGAGCCCCTTCTGCCTCCAGCATGTGACTGATGCCCTGGCAACAGGCCTCAGCTCTGCTGACTTGGCTGCTGGGGCCTGTGGGAGGGAGGTGGTGCAGGCTGAGGGGCATGGGAGATGAACCTGCCCAGCCCCCTGCCAGTGTCCTGGTCACCCTGCACAGGTCCTTGATGCTGGATGAGGGATGCCCAACACCAGCCAAATTCAATGCCTGTCCCCTACCTGGTGCCCTTCTGCAGGACCCCTACTTTATCCAGTCGGTAAGTTTTTGCTGCTTCTCTCTTCCCTAGAGCACAGCTCTGCTTATGGAGAGTCTATTCCCTTTCCCTATTCCCCAAAAAGAAGATGAAAGCCAGCCTCCCACCCCCTCTAGACCCATGCTCCCCAGCATGGAATGAACCTCCCCTCCTCAAACCTTCCCCCTTAGACCTAGTCTGGCTCACCATGTGGCTTGAGGTGAAGGGCTGGGCCTAGTCTTCTACTTACAGCCCCTCCCAGAGACCACCTTGGGCCTCAGCAGCCCTCACAGGACCAGGGGCCCCATCATCTCTGACATTCCGGAAGACTCTCCGTCCCCTGAAGGAACCAGGCTCTCTCCCTCCAGTGGTGGCAAGAGGTAAGAGGGACAGGGGGTGCCCTCAGGGGAGACTGTGGGGGGAGGGACTGGCAGCCCAGATGGCTGTGGGAGGAGGGGGAGAGGTCAGTGCCAGGGTCTGGTTGAAGCTTTTCTCTGGTGCAGGGAGAAGGGCCTGGCACTGCTCAAAGAAGAGCCGTCCAGCCCAGGGGGGGAAGGCGAGGCCGGGCTGGCCCTGGCCCCAAACGAGTGTGACTTCTGCGTGACAGCCCCCCCACCACTGCCTGTGGCTGTGGTGCAGGCCATCCTGGAAGGGAAAGGGAGCTTCAGCCCTGAGGGGCCCAGGAATGTCCAACAGCCTGAACCAAGGGGCCCCAGGGAGGTACCTGACAGGTGAGCAGAGAGCCCATTCTTGACTGTAAGCCCTGTGAGCCACTTTTGCAGACAGACCAGCACTAACTAGCCCCTGAAGTTTCCCAGCCTTGTCTGCCCCTTGGTGGCTGAGGGAGAGGTTGGGCACTGTGATCTGACCTGATTTCTCAGACTTGCTCTAAGGAGTACCAGCATCAGAGGCCCCTGGAAAGTGGAAACATCTCAGTGGTAGGGTTCAGGAATCTGCATTTTAAATGAGTTCACTGGGGTAGTTGTAAAGATCTCAAAGTACACAACACTTTAAGAACCACTGGTATTGCAATTGCAATCATAGGGAGGGGCACAACCCAAACCTTAGGCGAAAGTTGGGAGGCAGAGGCACTCTTTGTGTCCCCCTCTCATATTGTTTTCTAGATGTTGTCAGATTTAGATCCTGATGTATCCAGGTTGCTTGGGAACCTAATGAGGGGGTGGGGGTGGGTATTGCAGGCCAGTGGCAGTTCTCTTTGCACAGGGGGCCTCTAGACCTGGAGAGGGGAGGCCGGAGCCCAGAGAGTCTGCTGCCACCAATGCTGCTTCGGGCCCCCCCTGAAAATGTGGAGCCTGCAGGTCCCCTGGATGTGAGTACACCTTTAGCAGGGCCCAGTGGGACCCAGCTCTTTGTACCGACTGGGAAGGGCACCAGTGACCTAAACTCCCCCCAGGTGCTGTGCCCCAGCCTGCAAGGGCGGGAATGGACTCTGATGGACTTGGACATGGAGCTATCCCTGGTAAGATGGGGGTGGGGAGGACAGGGGGCTCAGGGTTGCTGAGCCAAGCCCTTTGGTCTAGGCTGTCCTCCCTCAGCCAAAGCCCCAGCTCCCCTCTCCAACTCCCCGGCTCCCCTTCCCAGCTGCTTCCTGGGGTTCTCTCATGCAGTTACAGCCCTTGGTTCCAGAGAAGGGTGAGACTGAGCTGGCGGTCAAGGGGTTAAATTCTCCAGGCTCAGGTAATGATTGTGGTGACTCAGGACCTGGGGGAGGTCCAGACTGGCCTGAGCTGCCGGGATTGGGTGGGCTGGGCAGTTGGTGTTTTGGAGGGAAATCCCCTGAGTTAGGCTGCTTTGCAGAGTGCTGCTTAAGCCACTGGGTGAGAGTGGGGAGACTGAGAGTGGCTTTTTATCCTAACTGACCAGAGGCAAGGCAAGTGAGGCTCTCCTTCCCCAAAGAAAGGAGGTGACCATTTCTCCCTGCTGAGCACAGCCTCAACTCCTCCTAGGGAAGGACTCCACACTCGGGACACCGCTTCTGCTGGACGTCCAAGCGGCTTTGGGAGGCCCAGCCCTCAGCTTGCCTGGAGCTTTAACCATTTACAGCACCCCTGAGGGCAGGGCCTCCTACCTGGGCCCAGGGGCCAACTCCTCCCCCTGAAACCCCCACCACCTGGAAGACAGCCTGGCTGAGGGGTTGGTCGGCAGCAGCACGTTGTGCGCCACTTTCTTGAGCCCCAGGTGGAGGCTGAGTGAAGCCCTCCTACTCGGAGGCCCCTTTCTAATATGGAGACCTGCATAAAATTGCGTTTTTTTCTGTGTTTCTGGTCTCTTTTCTCTACTGGCCAGGGAGCACAGAAGTCATGGCAGGGGACGATTTTGCATTCAAAGAAGCATCCACCTGCAGCAAGGCTTAAGGAAACACCCAGAAAGCCAAACACAAAAACAAAACCCAAAAACCAAAAGGCAAAGAAGCATCCAGATCCTAGAACTTTAATCTTTTATCAAGGAACCCCTGGAGAGTGGAGGTGCTTGAGGAGCCTGCCCCTAGTTTTCCTGCTTAGGCCCCTGTCCTCCGGGTCTGGATGCAGGGCTGGTGCGCGGTCACTGAGATCGCCGGGAAGAGGGGGCTTTTAGGGTCACACCCAGCTCCGCAGTGCATCCGCTCTGTGATCCTGCGTAAGCTGGTCTCGTTCTCTGAGCCTTATCTGTGACAAGCAGAGAGGGGTCGATGAGAGAGTAGGTGTAAAACGCCTGGGAATTGCTGGGGTATTTGGGGACACCAGCTGAACTGTGTTCTCCCTGACTCACCCAGCGCGCGCGGGGTAGAGAGGGAAAGCCCACTACGTGTACGTGCCCAGGCGGTACGCGCGGCCTCTGCGGCCTGCCTCCCCGCGTCCGGATAAGAACGCCCCCCTTTCCCCACCCCTTCCCGGTTCCCGGCAGTACTGGCCGCCCCGCCCCACCGCAGCTGCTGCTCCCATCCCCACCCCGCCCGGCCCTTTCTGCCTCGTCATCTCCTGGCCCCTCCTGCCCCGCCGAGGCTCGAGGATCGACCCGTGAGTGGGGCGGCCGGGAGGGCACGGACTGGGAGCCCCACCCCTGCGGCTGGGGGAGGGAAGAGAGACTGACATTAGGCAAAATCCGCGCCCCACCACCACTAGCCGCGCCCGAAGGAAGTCTGTGAGACCCTCCCCTCCGCAGGACTCTAGCACTGGGTCTGGGTGGAGGGGATGTAAGGGGTCACACGAGCGCTAAGGCTCCGGCACTTTCCCACAACCTTCGCTCCTTAGCAAAAGAACGCGCGCAGCGAGGTAGGAAGGGCGGCCGAGATCCTCCTCTCCGCCTCGCTCCTGGAGCTGCCTGGTGCTCCAAGAAGAATCTGAGCTGTGACCATTGAAGGACATAAATTCGGAATTCATTTCTGAGCATTTAGTGTCAGAGGACCCAGACCAGCTGGGGTCTCTGCAGTCCAAACAGGACAAAGGGCAAGACTTGGATAACGGGAGGAGGAAGCTAATGTGAAAATAACGAGGGGAGGAGTGAGAGAGAAGGAAGGGCCAATATAAACTGCCCCTTTCCTCTCTGCACCTGTAGAGAGTAGGTTCTGTCCTCTCTCCCTTCCTGGACCTGTGATTGGAGGGGCTGTCTTTGAAAGCCCCAGGTAAAGAGGCCAGAGGGTCCATGTATATACAGTGCAGTGACGTCAGTGAGGGTATATGCTGTTCACTGGGGTGCAGAGGAGAAGGAACCATTCTGCCTTTGAGACACTCAGGCGTTGTTGTGGACAAGGGGACATCTGAGTCTTGGAGGATGGGCCCACAGCATGGAAGGAGAGAAGGGTATTCCAGGCCTAGGGAACAGCATCTGGTTCGGAAGTGCCAGGGGCTTAGCGAGTTCTCCTCGTACTGAGTGATGAAGGGAAGTAGGGGAAAGCCTGGCCATCCATGGGGTGGGAGGTCACTATAGCTGCCAGGCCAGATAGTCTGGATTCTCTCTGATGGCCAGTGGGGGTCGGGCGACAGGTAGTTATGGCTGACATTCTGCTTGGCAGGAGACCTATTGTAGTTCAGGCTGGAGCAAGTCAGATTCCAATTCTGTCACTTAGTCTCTCTGAGCCTGTCTCCTTGTTTGTAAAATGGGGACAAGAGCCCAACCTCCAGGGAGTTGTCAGAGGCACTATTCTGTGGAGGTGATGGGATGGGAGTGAGAGGTACTCAGACAGACTGTGATAGGAGGTGAGGTGACCATGGTGGGGTTGAGAGAGATGCTGATAGAGACTCAGTGAGAGGAGAGGAGCAGCATTTGTCACAGATGAGACATGAAGGGCGATGGATAGACAAAGGGTATTTCTGGTCCCTGCTCATGGCCTGGGGTAAGGGCTGACACTTCAGAATGGCTAGGAGGGGTGCAATGACCAGAGAGGCATAACACAACACCAGATAGTGAGAGAGACCTGGGAGGCAGGATGGGGACTAGGACCAAATTCGCTCTCCCAGACCTAGAGCCAGGTAAGGAGGTAGAGGAGGGACCCTGAAGGAGGTGCTGTATGGACAAACGGAAGGCCAGGGGAGATGGGCTGAGAGAGGGTGTGGGCCAGGGCCTGACCTATTTGCCCCTTAATGCCAGGGGCCTTGCTGCCTGGGTCAGACCATCCAAAAGGAGGTGGGCCATTGTCCTTGTTAATAAGTGAACAAAGCAGATTAATTTCTGCCTAACACCTGCTGTTTGGTAGAGACAGTCTCTCAAAATGGGACAGTGCATGGAGGAAAACAGTGAAAGTTTGGCATTTGCTGGTAGCTTTTATGAGTTGGGCCCTAGCTACTTCAAGATGAAGGCTGTGAATCATTCCCAGGGCAGCAAGGAGATAGTCTGGTCTCAGGTGATGTCAGGAGATCTTGGTCAGAGCGAAGACTGGAGTATCCCTCCTCAGATATTAGAGAACCAGGTGAAACCGTGAGACCACGTCAGGGTTACAACATGGTGGTGGTATTGGTGGGGGCGGGGCAGGGGCAGGGCCTGTTCTAAACAGAAGGACCTCAAGGTCAGGATAAGGGGTCTGGACTTCTCTAGCAGGTGAGAGGAGCAGGGGAGGCTCTCAGCACTTTGGGCTCTGGCGGGGGGGATTTGGGGCTCTGCAAAGTCTAGGCTGGAAGTGAAAGGCTAGACTAAGTAACTGGTGCGGTTGACAGAAATATTCAGCAGATAGCCTGGAAAGGACTTGAATGCAAGCTGAGTGTGTATCGGGATCAATCGTAGGTCTTTCTGCTCGTTAAGTTCAGGAAGCAGATTGGGAAATAGAAGTTGGTTTGGGATAAACTAGGTCTAAATCCATGGCGGAATCTGCAAGTGGTGGGGGCTCAGGAGGAAGTCCTGTTTGAGGAGAGCTGTTAGAGGTTCCTGGGATAGTGTAGAGGAGAAGAGAGCCACAGCAGACACTTAGGGAGCGAAGGAGAAGCCTGAGGAGACAGAAGCGGCGAGAGAGGCTGGAGAATGAGTCCTTCGCTGTGCCGCCGCGGAACTGTCCGGCCGCCGGCCACCGAGGTCGAGGTGAAATTAAACCCCAGCCACAGGTGTTAACTGGGGCCCTGGGAAAGAAATCAAGGGCAGGGGAGCTCCGGCCTCCACTACCTATCTACCCCCACCTCCCCTGCAGCCCCCACCATGGGCAACGCGCAAGAGAGGCCATCAGAGACGATCGACCGTGAGCGGAAACGCTTAGTCGAAACACTGCAGGCGGACTCAGGGCTGCTGCTGGATGCGCTTCTGGCACGCGGCGTGCTCACCGGGCCCGAGTACGAGGCTTTGGATGCGTTGCCTGACGCCGAGCGCAGGGTGCGCCGCCTGCTGCTGTTGGTTCAGAGTAAGGGCGAGGCCGCCTGCCAGGAGCTGCTCAGCTGCGCCCAGCGTACCATGCGTGCGCCTGACCCCGCCTGGGACTGGCAGCACGTGGGCACCGGTGAGCGCATGGGGGGGCGGGGCCTAGGTCTAAGGAGGACGCATGGCGTGGGGAGGGGCGTGGGGGCACGGAGTTGCGGTCTGCGGAAAAGAACCACACGTGTGCAGAGGAAAACGCAGTGGGGTAAATTGAGCCTAAGGCAGTCCCACCTTCGCAGGCTACCAGGAACGAAGCTACGACCCTCCATGCCCAGGCCACTGGACGCCTGAGGCAGCCGGCTCAGGGACCACATGCCCTGGGCTACCTAGAGCTTCAGACTCTGATGAGACCAGGGGTCCTGAGGACTCCGAGGCAGCGCACTCTGGAACCCTCGAGGAACCCGAGCCGGAGCTAGAAGCTGAGGCCCCTGAAGGGGCTGAGCCGGAGTTAGAACCCCAAATGGATCCGGAGCCAGAGGCAGAGGTAGAACCAGAGCCGGAACTGGAGCCGGAACCTGACTTCGAGGCAGGAGATGAGTCTGAAGGTGTGTGGTTACCCAAACCTGGCGGGAGGGCGAGGCCTGGGGGGCGAAGGTCAGGGCTCCACCTGACTGATCACGCCCCTTCCGTTGTCTCTAGATTCCTGAAGGCCATAGCGCTGTCAGGCTGTTCTACACCCTGGCAGGATAGGATCTGGGATCCTGCCCTGGTGGGGTCAGATGCCAACAAGGCTCCACCTGGCCCAATACCACTGAAAGTTAATAAACTCTGGAGGGTCAGCCTGGACTCTGTGATTCTAGATTTTTGCCCAGGAACTAGGGTGTGGATCTGTGCTTCTAAGTCCCAGTGATCTGGGCAGCCATGTGCCCATGGCCCATTCTTCAGCCCCATTCCATCCTCAATAGCCCAAGCTGCACCACTGGAGATCCCAGACCCAGGTCCCCAGTGGGACAAGGGCCACACTCTTGGGCCCTGCTCCAAGGCCCTTTTATTCTCATGAACCATTTGAGGTCATGTGCAGTCACCAGCCCCAGTCCATGAAAGCCCCTGGGTCTGGCACAGAGAGCCAGGAAAGGGGGACTTCTCTCCACTTAGGGAATGCTAGAGCTCACAGCCTCGGGAAGTGAAATAAGGAGAAAGAGGAAGAGATCTTCGGTAGACAGAGCCCACACACTTCACTGTAATTGTTGTTTTAATTGGCTTCTCTAAGGACTGGGAGCTCAGTACGTGTTCTGGCCAGTTAACTGGCACATTGAAGGTGCTTTATACATATTCGCTGACTAAATGAATAAGTACTTTTCAGCTGCATTCACGAGTTTTCAGATGGGAAAAATAAAGGCCAAGGGTGGGAGTGGGACTGGGTCAGCCTCACACAGCTGATTCTGAGGTGAAACTGAAAGCAACAATCATCTCAATGCCACTCCTGGTCTAGGAAGGGCTCAGGGCTTGGAACAACTAGGTGCCTGCCCCTCAGGCTTGATTGTGGCTGCTGCCAGACTATGCCAGCCTCTGCCAAACACCATCTATGAGTGTGTAGGCAAAGACAGGGACAGCGGAGGCCAGTTCAGGGGGTGAGGGCAGGGCCAAGTGGGCTCTCGGCTCGACTCACAAGGCCTGTGGGTGTGTGCGTGAGCATGTGCACATGTGTATGAGCTAAGAGTGGAGTTAGGAACAGTTGGTGCCTTCCAGAGGAGCCCTGTTCCCTCCACCAAACCTTCAGAAACTGCTGCCTCCCGGCCCCAGGAAATAAAGCACATAAACAAGGAATAAATACATGACAGTGGGAGAGGCAAAATGCTGGAAAGCACACCCCAGCCCAGCTGGGTCTCTACTGCCAGGATACCTGCCCCTTGAGTCTGTGTGAAAGCCAAGACTTCACACTCAGGCAATCACCCCAGGAGAAGGGAGACCCCCACCAGGACCCAGTGAGAGGTAGACAGCATGAAAGCTGAAGGAGCACCAAGGGGCCAGGGTGGGGGGGGGGGAATGACTGGAGTATGCAGACACCCAAAGCCATCTCATGCAAGGATAAGTTTCTACTCCCAAATCACCCCCACCCCCATCCATGCTCAGCTTCCTTCCTGCCCCCAGGCTTTCTCTCTGCTCAACAGACAGCTGGAGGTAGGGGGGCAGACTTAGTTTGCCTGACATGCTGCTGTTGGCCCTCAGGCCCCAGTGAGGCCAGCAAAAGACACAAACTCTCTGATGTTGCCATTTGTCCCTCCTAAGATGCTCCTGCCCTCCCTGTTCCCCAAGAAACACCCAGGCTCTGGAAGCACAGAGCAGCCAGCTTCATGTTCTGGGGGCTGATCTGGAGCCCTCTGACCAGGGCCTCTCTGTCCAGGTCTGCTACTTATAGCCCTCAACCAGCATCAGTCAGGCAGCAGGCGGCCCAGCTCCGCCTCATCCAGCCGGTTGGTGGCCATGATGTGCTCCAGCTGCTGCCGGTAGCGCGCCAAGTCCTGCATGAAGTGGGGCACCCGGGTATTGTCCAGCACCCCATGGGGCCGAAGGTGGTCTACATCTTCATAGGACACCTGCAGGAAGGAAGCTGGGCCTCAGGGGTAGGCAGAATGTCCAGGCTTTCAGGCAGCTGCTCCCAGCTCTCTTGCAACAGCCCATAGCCCTGTGCTCCTGGAACTCCTCTCTCTGCCCTCCTGATCCACTCCCAACATTGTGTACCCTGAGACTCAGTCCTAGGTATCTGCCCTTTCTCTTAATACCTTCTTTTATTATCTGTGCCCTACAATCCCACTCCTGTCCCTAGTCCAGCTTCCCCCCTCACCGCCAAACCTGGGTATCCAACTGCCTTCCAAACACCTTCTCTTGGCTATCTCTCAGGCACCTCAGACTCCCCATATCCAATGCTGAATTCCTATGTCCCAGCTTATGCCAGCCTCACCCTCTTCACAGTCCCTTAGGTCGATTCCAAGGAGGAGGCTTAGAATCTGTCACTCTCCCAGAGTGGCCACTCAGTTAAAAAGGATTCCACTCTCTGAAGATCTCTCCAGCTTGCCCCTCCCTCTCCAACTGCATGGCCTCTGCGAGGTTAGGCCAGACTACCATCAATTCTGCAAGAGTGATTGGAAAAGCCTCCTCCTCTTCTCCCTGCACTCCCTTCCCTGGGCCTCCCCTTCCACAGGGAGCCTTCTAAAGCAAACATCTGTGCTACTCTTCTGCTTAAAGCTCTCAGATTCCTCACTGCTTTGGATGAAGTACACCTTCCTCAGTCTGGCACAGATACCCAGTGCCAGGGACTTGGTCCCTGGCCATTTCTTCAGTCTCCTTGGCCAGGCCTTCCTGACTGTTCCCTTAGCCTGGAAGGCTCACCTGTTTTGAGATGCAGTGTCTACACACACACACCTGTGGGCTGGGTCTCTACTATTGGCTGCCAGACTGTCATTTCATCTCCTGTGCTCACCTCCACCCACACTCCCCCAATCAGAGAGGCCTGGCACCCAATTAGAGGCTCAGGGAATCGTGAAGTGATAGGGAGAGCTGGCTGGGACTTCTGAAGGCCCGTGGCCCCTCACCTTGCCCAGTGAGGTCAGTAGCGGGAAATCGATGGTCTGGCGATGCCGCAGAATGCGCACTATGCCGTCTAGGTACACCTGGTCCTTGCTGAAGCAGCCTGTGGATACCGGAGGGTGGTAAGCCCTGGGCTGAAGCCCCACCCTAACCCTCTGCCCCCTAGATCAGGACACTCCCCCCAGCGTGGGCGCCCACCCGGCAGCGAAGTGTCTGTCTGGCCACGCTTGGCGCGCACGCAGTACTCCCAGCGCACATCCGCGTCCTGCACGTAGCGTGCCAGGTCCTGGAAGAGCTGACGGAAGGACATGTGCGCAGCGCGGTGGATGGTGTAGTAGAGCAACGCTGCGCGCCACAGGAAGGGCTGCTTGCGGAACAGCACGCTGTGTAGGCTGGCCAGGCCCTCCTCGGTGGGGTTTGCTGGCCGCAGCCCGTACTGCAACCGGCCCTCGGCGCTGTGCCATGGCTGCCGCGCGTTGTTCACACCCCGAAGGTAGTGGGTACCTGAGGGGAGTAGGAGGCTGCGCTTGGCCAGGCATCCAGGGGACCCACCTGCCTGGCCCGGGCCCTGCTATGCCCAGCTGGACCTGTAGCTGATGACTCACTTATCCTCATGCCCCTAAACTCAGGTTCTCACGCAAGTTCCCTCGACCCCAAACTCATACTCACCCAACCCTAGGCAGCATGAAGACCCTCCTCAGGTGAACTCACATGCAAGGATTCAGAATCTCGCATGCAAGAATCCTCCCCCACCTGTCCAGGGCTATACACACACACACCTCTCCCAAACTCACACTGCCCCCCAACCCCTAGAAAGGAGCAGGAACTCATATACCTCCCTGGCCCCACATCCTGGGCAATGCCCATATTCTGCTGATGTCCCCAGCAAAAAACCACCTTTTGCCCAGAGCAACAGGATTCCTGATGAGGAGGGCCAGGCAAAAAATAATAGTAGTGTCCCAAGCTCTCCTTTCCAGCCTGGTCTATCCCCTCCTAAACCCAGCTCTGTGTGTCTTCAGCCAATTTCATTCCCAGGATCTGAACTTCCACCCACCCTGGAGGGCCTGCATGTTGGCTGGGCTAGTGGGACACTTAGGGTCCTCCCTCTGGCCTCTCTGGGCCTCAGCAGTCTTGCCCCCCTGTCAAAGG